AAAAAAAAAAAAAAAAAAAGCAACTAAAAATTCTTTGACTATATAGACTGAAGAAAAAAACCCCACATCTTTTGAAATAAAAAATAAAAAGACTCTTAAACCCGCAGTCATCCCAGAGGAAGGAAAAGTCACTTATAAAGCGTGATCTAATTTGCTCCAACAGGGAATAAATGCCTTCCTGATCCCCAAAGACATATCTAAGTAAACACTCTACAATGATTTTCTTATTCCAAGTATTTGTAGCTATTTATATTTTGTGTACATAATATCAAACAAGCAAAATAGGTTTTATTGGGACTTTTGAGGTACAGTAGCTTGTTAGACAATCCCAGGAGTAGTCAACGCACTCTGCAAGGTAAATGCCCGGGTGCTCATCCACAAAAATATCCATGCAAATCCAGTTATAGAGGCATTCACGGGTCTCACAGTAGAGATAAGTCAAAGTATCAGAATTTTATTGCCAATGTTTCGATGGAGCTCAGGCCATCTTTATCTTTTATTTTGTTTTAGTGTTTTGAGAAAGATTGGAAGGACTTATTTTGCTTGGTTGATATTCTAAAGGTATTTAGGGATTTTTTCCAAGAATATAGGGACTTTTCGGGTGCCACATCAAAGAATTCAGATAGAATCAGTCTCTCACTCTCTCTTTCCCTCCCTCCCTTTCTCTCCCTCCCTCCCTTTCTCTCCCTCCCTCCCTTTCTCTCCTCCTCCTCCCTTTCCTCTCTCTCTCCCTCTCTCTCTCTCTCTCCCTCTCTCTCCTCATAATTGCACCCATCTGTTCCAACCACATATGTTCTGCCTTTACCATACCATCAGCCAGCACCCTCCTAATCCATTGTTGAAATCTATGTCCTTCACAACATATAGTTGCAGAATTATTGATAATTCAGCAACTAGTATGCTGAAAAAAGTATGCTGTGAAGTACAGTGAGAGGGGTCCCCCTGGAGCTTTTAGTAATAGTGTGTTAGTATGCACAGCATATAAGCATATTATGGCTGACTTACCTGCCAAAGTGATCCCCTCCAGCGCTGCACTCCTCCCTGGCGGGCGCTTTCATCTTCTCCAAGTCTTCTTCCAGGTTTCGAATATTTGGCTACTTGAGTGGCGGGGCCCCCATGATGCAACTCCTGAGCATGTGCACGGGAGTTACTTCATCTCAGCATGCTGAAACAGTGCATGTACGTGCACATGCGCAACTTAGTGTAGAGGAAAAAGAATTGCTTACAGGCAGCAAAAAACATTCATGGCAGAAGAGACTTACACAGTCACAAGATTTTATTTTGGTGCACCTCTACTTGTAACCCATTGACATTTCCTCCCATCCTTGTTACTTAATGTCCATGCCTCACTACAGACATGGACGGGAGGAAGAGTATGCAGGAGCCAGAGCATTGCCCCGTGACCCACTGATTGCAGCTACAATGCTTTACAGGCCCCTATGCACAAAAATTAAACATTCACTTTTTTCTTTCATGAAAAAGTGGGCATTAATAATTAAAAAAAAAAAAACAGTGGAATTTCCCTTTAAATCAGGCTGCTTTTTTATTGAATTGTGTGTTAGTTTCTGTATGCCCAGCACACCCTGTCAAGGGGACTTTCTACCTTTAGCACAGTGCAGTGGGTTGAATGCTTCCACCTGTACAATATATCTAATACAAACATTTGCAGGACCATCATTTCTCTTTAAATTGTATCATTTAGGTTATAGGTGAAACTAATTGGCCACTTCCATAAAATAGGGCTCGGAGCAAAGTGCTAAGTACAACATCCATAAACATTATTTAGAATCCATGTTGTTCTTGTTTGGCTTCAGTAAAACTCGGTCTAATTAATCACTGTGGATACCGCACTTTGCCCCTTGCACTACATCACTGAATAAGCCTATGGCTCATGAAAGCTTTCTGATAGCTAATATCTTCTTTCATGTGATTTCTGGATAGTAAACCCTCTTTCATCATTTGTATTAATCATCTTATTCTTTATTTATGGAAAGGAAGGTAAAGGTGAAACAAGTCCCGTGATTACCTTTACCTCCCCACCTTAAGACTAAATGTATTACATAATCATGCTTTCTTGACTTTCTTAAAGATTGTTTTACTGCCATGTAAGGTTGTAATGTGTAAATAAACAGAACAAAAAGGATGTAAGAGTATTAGGCAGGTGTAAAGAATTATGTAGAAAAATTGGTAGTCGTCTATAGATCCGAATATAACAATATTAACCCTTTTAGTATGAATTAAATGTCCGTCCTCACAATCTGTCTGTTGTTCCAGGCCAGACTAATTATTTACACCTGCCAAAAAACAATTTTTTATTTTTTTTAATTATAGGAATAGTCAAAAATGTACTCTTTGGGGTCTATTCACGAAGCAGCCGAGGGATCTAGCCGTAGCTTCGCCCGATCCTTCGGCTAGCTTCGCCCCCCGGGACCCCTTCAGTTCATTAGAACCGAAGGGCTGCTGTACAGGCTATTCACTATAGCCCGTACAGCTCCCGAACGTGGCCGAGCGGCTCAGTCGAGCCGGATGCATATGCCTTGGCTCGGCTGAGCCGCGCTAAAAACTAGATTCCTATTGGCTATTTCAATTTGCAATAGCCAATAGCAAACTAGCATTGCACCCGCCCTCTGCTGCAGTTCTCCATCAGGTCCACCAACAGGATTGACAGCAGCAGAGGGCGGGTACAATGCTAGTTTACTATTGGCTATTGCAAATTGAAATAGCCAATTAGCCAATAGGAATCTAGCAATGCATTCCTATGGCCAAATTTTTATTTTTTTTTACGATTCTAACACGGCTTTGTGTCAGAATAAGAAAAAAAAAGAACAAGCAGTGTTTCTCTCCTTGGCGGCCGGGATCGGTGGACTCCCGGAGCGCACGGGAGAGTTAGGCTTTTTTTCTTCTTTTTTTTGGACGGCAGCAGAACCGCCGGCCATAGAAAACTGTTGGGCGGAGCTAGCTGTCATTGCTAGCTCCGCACAATAGTTTTCTATTTTTATTTTTCTACTTTTTAAACTATTTTTCTGTTCATCTCGGTCCCACAGAGAGACCGAGCAGAACAGCTGAGCCGAATGCCGCTCGGCGGCATTCGGCTATTTACTCACTGCTGATGTTTTTGTTTTTTCAATTAAAGGATTTTACCAAAAGTCTGGACTTTTAAATTACTATTTTATTTAACCCTTTAGTGAATGGGTAGGGGTGCAAGTACCCCTTACTCATTCACAAGGGGGGGCGGCTTCTGGGTGCCCCCTTAAGTAAAGGGGTACCCCTAAGCAAATAAGCTCCTTTGCACGCAGACCCCCTCAACCACCGGGTCAGGGTTGTGGGGAAGAGGCCCCTTGGGCAACTGTTGGTGGGCGTACCCACTCGGGCCAGAATATTGGCGGCCGGTGGCTGGTACAGTAAACAATGGGTCGTGGTACACCCCCTGTAAGCAGTGAGTGGTGTTTTTTGGCACTGGTCAGGGACCAAAGTATTTTTTCTAGCTACATAGTGTGTTCTGTAATTATTGTAAATGCTTACATCGCTGTGGCCATCCAACCTTCCAATAAATGTTATTACATTAAGTTTTTTGAAATTACTGGTGTTTAGTGTGTTATTAAGGTGGGAAGTGAGTGTTACTTGGCCTTGCAGTCAGTCATGAGTGCCCATGTGAGCATAATGCAACAGAGTCAATAGAACAGATCAATGTCAATCCAAAGTTTGATACATGATGCAGGTTCAGATGTGATCTATAAGTAAAGATTTCAGAATCAGCAATGTACTGTTTCAACTCTATGGATGTATGAATAAATATCAAATATGGCATAGATGTTAAAATCGTATCTATTATACTGGTCAAGCAAGTGCCGCACCTCCCGAACAGAAGGGCTTGTCATGAACAAGGGGGAAATCAGCAACAAGGGGAAGTCAGTAACAAGGGGGATGTCATGAACTAGGGGGAAGTCATAAACAAGGGGGATGTCATGAACTGGGGCATGTCATGAACTAGGGGAAGATATGAATATAGGGGATGTCATGAACTAGGGGAAGTCATAAGCAGAGGGGATATCATGAACTAGGGGGAAGTCATAAGCAGAGGGGATGTCATGAACTAGGGGGAAGTCATAAGCAGAGGCGATGTCATAAACTAGGGGGATGTCACTAACTAGGGGGATGCCATGAACAAGGGAGATGTCATGAACTAGGGGGGAAATATGAACAAGGGGTATGTCATGAACTAGGGGAATGTCATAAGCAGAGGGGATGTCATGAGCTAGGGGGAAGTCATAAGCAGAGGGGATGTCATGAACTAGTGGGGAAGTCATAAGCAGAGGGGAGGTCATGAACTAGGGGGATGTCATGAACTAGGGGGAAGATATGAACAAGGGGGATGTCATGAAGTAGGTGGATGTCATAATCAGAGGTGATGTCATGAACTAGGGGGAAGTCATAAGCAGAGGGGATGTCTTGAACTAGGGGGATGTCATGAACAAGGAGGATGTCTTGAACAAAGGGGATGTCATGAACTAGGGGGATGTCATGAACTGGGGGAATCATAAACAAGGATCCTGTCATGAACTAGGGGGATGTCATGAACTAGGGGGAATCATAAACAAGGGTGATGTCATGAACTAGGGGGATGTCATGAACAAGGGGAGTGTAATAAATGCACATTTTTTTTTCTTTTATGAAGACGTGTCAATTTATTTATTTAAGGTGGAATTTCTATCTTTAGCTATCTTTAGCACAGCACAGTAGCATGAATTCTTTTACCTGTACAATCTATCTAATACAAATATTTACAAGACGATAATTTCACTTTAAATTGTATCATTTAGGTTATAGGTGAAACTTATTGGCCAGTTCTATAAAATAGGGCTCGGAGCAAAGTGCTAAGTACAACACCCATAAACATTATTTAGAATCCATGTAGTTTGGCTTTAGTAAACCTCAGTCTAATTAATTACTGTGGATACAGCACTTTGCCCCTTGCACTACTTCAGTGAATAAGCCTATAGGTCATTAAAGTTTTCCTATAGCAAATATCTTCTTTCATGTGATTTCAGGATAGTAAACCATATTTCATCATTTCTACAATCATCGTATTCTTTATTTATGGAAAGGAAGGTAAAGGTAAAACATTCAAGTCCCGTGATTACCTTTACGTTCCCACTTCCCACCCTTAGGCTAAATGTATTACATAATCATGTTTCCTTGACTCTCTTGCAGATTGTTTTACTGCCATGTAAATATGACTGGTGAATTATGTTTGTATGTTGTAACTAGAATCTATTATATTATACTGTCTGCTGATCAAACACTTTTTATAATGATAGGCAAATAGGGTGAATCCTATTTGGAAAATCATAGCCGAATGTTGTAATAGATAAATGTCCAGCAAACATTCAACAGGCCAAATACACAGTACATGCTTTATAAACAGACTCCCAAATGTTATGCTAACAGTTTACCAACCGCATTCCTTTGTCCTGTGTGCTTTGCAATGTCATGTTGAAAGGGGGAAAAAACAGCTCTTCTAAACTAAAAGGTGAATTTTTACTTTGGGCTTTACAAAAATCCACTGAGTTATTTCAAAAACTGCATATATTTAATATATTTATAGTCAGAAGATATTGTTAATTTCATTTTTGGGTAATTATGTGAAAATCTGGGAATTATAGTAAGTTGATTTTTCTTTTTTACTTAGAACTTTCTCTATTTCCTACCAATTTAAATCTAGAAAATTAAAAAATATGTGTCCAAATTAAAGCCCTATGTGTCCAAAAAGTTTAAAAAGTAATTACACATTGAGGGAAACTACAAAAGGTAAAATGTATAAGGTACAAAATAAAGACATCTCCAAAATGAAAAAAAAAAAGGAAAAGAAAAAACGTAAATGCTCTGGTACTCTGGGGGTTGAACATACATTAATGCCACAGCCCAGTGGCAGAACCACCAAACACGGCATACTTTTATGAGTAATGTTTGTTGCACTTGTGTAAAAAGCATTCTAATGCTAACTACTTTTGCTTTGTGAAAATTTCACATACAGGGTACAGGGTCAGGGGCGTCCCGAGGCCGGATGTCACCAGGAGCGGTTACCAAGTGACACCCCGCCGTGACGTCATCTTATTGATACCTGCCGGCGGCCATCTTGGTGATGGACGCAGGCAGAGAGAGGAGGGGACAGTCACCCAGCGGGATAAGGTATGCCGCCGGGTCCCTTCCTCTCTCAAACACACCACTGGAAACTTCCTCACACACCCCATGTGACACTCAGAGAGGAGAGCACACTCTCTATGCCATCACGGCTTGGTCTCTTACACCCGCTGACTAAGACGACCGCTGACAGCACGTGTCACACAGTATCCCCCTACAGAGCACTCCTGGCCGCTACGGCTCAGCCTGGCCAGCTGAGCCCCGCCGCAAGATAGCTGCTCCTTCTCCTTATACGCATCCTTGCAGCCGTCCACACCACTGCATTTCACCGTGCCTCACTTCCCCAAGGACTCCATCCCTTCACCCCCGGAGAATCCCCAAGGACTTCCCAAATGTGAGTTTCTTCATTTACCGTATACCAACAGTAGTAGCGCTCTTAATACATAGGTTGTTTTTTACCCCTCCAATGGTGTCACCCGGTTGCGGGCCGTACCCCCCTTGTGACGCCACTGTACAGGGTGTCAGGTTTTAGACCTTTAAAGAATTGTATTTACTGATTTAAAAACATCCCTTATTTTGAAACTGAACCATGGCATCTAATTGGCCTGGAGGTCTCCTTAAATACAGAAAAAGTATTTTCTTTCTAGTCCCCCAGTTGATAAACTGAAAGTAGAACTGGACCCAAAACTTACTTTTTTCTCCAGCATTGTGAATGTTTAATGGGTGTGTTCAATAAAAGCACGAGAAATTAGAATTGTCTTTTCGTTATTAGCTTTAGCACATTGGTGGGAATTTATTTTAGCAATTGCGAGTGTTTGAACTTGCACGGAATATATTTGACGCACTTTGCACCAGATTTATGTTGCTAGTGTAATGTTGTTCATAAATTAGATTAAATGGACTCCAGGGAAGAAGACTCATATCTCCAGGCAAAAAGCTTAACTGTCGCTTCTTGAAGAAGTGGTCATGGGGACTTCTTCATTTGCGATTGTTTTGTTAGGTGATGCTCCGGTTTCAGACAGCCGCAGGACAAATGCAGATGAAAAAAGGCGCAAAACACGTGCAATTGTAAAGGTAGTGCAAGCTCTGGTCAAAACAGGTGCACATGTTAAAAGACAGATTTGCACATAAAAAGAAATGATCTAAGAGGCTAAAACTGTCGCAATTGCTTTGATAAATTACCCCCATTGTGTTTGTCTATTGTTGTGTCTTACTGTAGATGAGGATCAGATCACATTTTATGGCAAATTACTGCAGAAAACCAGTTGATTCCAAGGGGTTCACATAGTTTTTCTTGCCATTGTATATAATTTTTGAATAAGGGGAGTGACACTAAACTCAAGAGTAAAATCTTCAGTTTAAGTTACCTTTTATGCACATGTACGACTAATCCTCCTATTTAAAACTTGTCAGAGAGGTTTATGTGAGTGCAGTGATCACAAATGCTTCTCTTTAGCTTTTCTCATCTATTCTGCAGCTACTCCTCGGCCAGAAAACAAAGCTCATGTTATTTCCCAGCCCCTTTCATTCATGGCCAACCTCCTGCTGATTATGATAGCCTATGGCAACTCTTCCCCAGCAGCGATTGCGTCCATCTTTACACATGCTCAGTGCAGCTGTATGACAAGTCTGTGTTTACTATACTGAAAATGGCTTTCTCTTTTTTGCTTTCACCTTTGTTGCCACTGAGTATCACAAATGTGTGCCATTGTGCAGCCTGGGTGTTTGTGCTTTATGTACTCTATAAACTCACAAAGCTTTATATAAGATGGAGGGAACTGGTCTCTGCATTAGAACCTTTTCCGGGTCCTCCGTGTCACTGGCTGTATGGAAATGCAGGAGAGGTAAGGTGCAATTTGATACCTGTCATTCTGCATTCTGAGTATCACAGCTTTTAAAACCAAATACTTCCGTCTCTCCTTTGCACTCAATTGTCTCTCTTTTAGGTCTAATTCATAGACTTGTATAAATGATATTACCAAATGTGTGTATATTGTGCTTAAAGTTTTTTCCAACCCTTATATTATTAGATTAGTTTTTTTTTCATTTTTAATATATTTTTATTTAACTTTCAAATAAACCCATTAAATGATAGAGTTTCACGGTGTACAATTGATATCTGTCTGTCATACAATGATGGTAGCCAGGGCAGGACCATGTGTGTGTCTCCATTATTAAGGCACAAGGGTCCCACCAAGCTTCGGGGTCTTGGGTGGATTTAAGGAGGAGATATGGTCATAATAGGATCTTTGTAATGAGAAGGACGGAACAGGGAGAATAGCTATAAAGGAGCCTGGAGGAGGAATGGGAGAGAAGAGAGAAAAGAAAGATGAAAGGTTAGAAGGGGCATTGTAACTCCCTGTGGACCCCCTTCCTAGGCAGGAGCTTTATAAAGAAGTAAAGTTTGTGGGCAAAAGTGAGGCATGGGCATACTGGATTTATGGGGTCCAAACAGAAACACATTTCTTATGGGTATCCATGAGTGTGCTGGTCAGTTTCTTGTTCCAAAGAAACAAATCTATTTAATTTCAACAAATAGTGTAAATTGTTCCTTCCAGGCCTTAGCAATGGTTTGTTTTGCTGACAATCTCATGTACATAGGTAATTTAAACTGTGGTTTGGTGAGCTTTGGGTGAAGAAGAGCAAATGAAGGACTATAGAATAAGGTTTGGAGAAGTTTAAGCACTTTGGTCCAAAATCTGTGTAACATGGGACAGGACCACTAGGTGTGTAGTAGATCTCCAACAGCGTTACAACCAGGGCTATTCATTTAATGAGGCAGCCTGAGGCATGTTTGTTGTAAAGTGGCTGCACAATGCCACCCCCTTTCTGGCCAGACCGTCCCGGGTTGCTAAGACATGTGTAAGGACCATACACATCTCCCAGCCCAGCTTTTAGTAACCAGGGACGCTCTTGTAAGCGTCGCACTCAGCTCATGGCAATCAGTGACGTCCAGGGCAGCCATCAGAAATGTTGGGGCCCCTTACACGGCTTTAGGCCGGGTCCCCCCCCACCACACCGCCACAGGGCTTAGTGACCCGCTGGACGCAGGGCTGAGTGACCCGCTGGACGCAGGGCTGAGTGACCCGCTGGACGCAGGGCTTGGTGACCCGATGAACGCAGGGCTTGGTAACGCGCTGGACTCAGGGCTTAGTGACCCGCTGGACGCAGGGCTTAGTGACCCGCTGGACACAGGGCTCAGTGACGCGCTGGACTCAGGGCTTAGTGATGCGCTGGACTCACCTGAGAGTGACCCTGCAGAGCCCACCATAGATGCTGCACAGCCCATCTGAGACTGTCTATAGTGGGCTCTGAAGGGGTTCTAAGGTAGGCTCGTCAGGGCTGCATCCCCCTCCCTCCTTCCTAGCTCCTCTTACCTGCACACCAGGCCTCCTCTGCCGCCAGACTGGCTGGAAGTGACGTCACGAGCAGTGTCGCTGATGGGGCCCCACCTTGTCTCGAAGCCGTTGGAGCGGCAATGCTGGGGCCCTGCGCTGCTAGCGCCAGGCCTCCGCTGCAGGGGCCCATCCGCCTCCTCGCTCTTCACCGTAGGTCGATACTCATGTAAGGGTCCCGGGCGGGCCCCCCAGGCTGCCCAGGCCCCTTACATGAGTATCGGCCGTACCCCCCTGATGGCTGCCCTGGTGACATCACATCACCATTGTAAACAGCCAGCGATGGCTGTTCAGACACAGGCGATCCGACGGCTGTATGCTTGTACGGTGTGGCGGAATGTGTGCCGCCCCCAATTGCCGCCGGCTACTCCGGGCTCCACTGTCCCCCATGTGGGCTCTGGACCGGCACGCCAGGTCTCCGCTCACCGATTGGAGGGAGATCAGCAAGCTTCGAGTCGCTGATATCTGCTCCAATCACTGGACTCGGAAGTACATCACTTCCGGTGTCACTGTTTACATTCTCTGGCTCCTGTAGCTAGGACAAGAAGCTGGGGAAGCAGATCGCTGCTCCATCAGCTGCTTTGGGGTCCCTAGGTGACATTAGGGGTCTAACAGACTCCTGATGTCTTCATAAAGAAGACCTGTCACATCATATTTGCTATTACATAGGGGGCTTGTTAGCCCCCTATGTGATATTAATACAGTTAAATGTAAAAAATTAAAAAATTAAAGTAACATCTAAAAAAATATAAAAGATGGCACAAAAATGTTTTTCAAGTCCCCTGCCGTCACGTAACCGCATATGCAAACGCAAACACACGTCGGATGTGCCCACGTGCAAAAACTAAAATTGTGCCACACATGTTACATATTGCCGCGAACGTCGGAGTGAGAGTAATAATTTTAGGGCCATCAATTACTCTTAACACTAAACTGATGAGCGGTAAAAGCTTTTAAAATATCACCTATGGGAAACTTTGGATATTGTAGTTTTTTGCGGTTTCACAAGTGAACGCAATTTTAAGGCTTGACATGTTTAATATCTATTTACTCAACGTGACCCCATCTTTTATATTTTACCCCCAAAAATGGGCATTATATTATGCTTCTGTGCATTAAATTTCATTTTAGTGTATTTTATCCTAAAAATACTGGTTTGATAAACATTTACGCAAATGTGACATAAAAAAATATCAGCTAGCATTTTCACATTCTACAGGGCCTCTGCTTTCGGAAAATATATAATTGTTTGGGGGTTTTAAGCTGCTTTCTAGGCAAAAAAACAGATTTTATCATGTGTGTGCAAATATTTAAAAAATTACTTTGGACAGCAAGTGGTTAAATCATGGAACACGGGGAAGCAGAAAAGAAGCCACTTACAGTATACAAGTTAGTGCTGCAATCATCTTAAAAAAAACATGGATGTTTGCAATGTACATGTACATTGCAAACATATCTTCTTTTTAGAACTCCCAAAACAAGGTAGATTTACCCTTTAAGGAACAATAGGCACGAAGAAAAGCAGTGCATACCGAGCATATTTGAGCCCAGTAGAAAAACATTGACATGTTTATGACTGTCTACTGTAACTACTGTTTATACATTTTGTCTGTTTTAATTGCAGTTCCTTAAAATCGGGAAGGACTTGGACTTTGCTCTACACTGGGCTCAGACATATAAATATGGATTCCCACTGTGGCTTAGCAATTTCTATGCATGGCTGGTAATCACCCACCCTGATTATGCAAAGGCTATTCTGGCTAGGCAGGGTAAGAAAATGATGTCATAGTGTATATCAATGTCAAATTGTTATTTAAGTGATTTCAAAAGTCAATAAAAAAAGGTTTTCCTGCAAAGAAGTGGTTAGTACTTACCCCTCCTGCTACCGGTCTCCACAGTCTTCAAGTGCTACGCTGGATTAAGCATCAAATCCATTTCCGGGTGTGTCTGGTGCCTGGTTCTCTTTTGAGTCCTGTGGGGGTTTTTTGCTGGCCCCTATGTCACTATTGCATCCTGCAATGGCATAGGTGCCAGGACAAGGAACAAGTGTAGAGGGGGACCAGAAAAGGATTTTTCAGGCAGGAGAGCCTTTGAAGACCTTGGAGATTAGCAGCACAGGCAGTGGGAAAGACCCAGTGGCTTAGACGTTAGCACTTCTGCCTTATAGCACTAGGGGTCCCTGGATCAGATCCCAGTCAGGGCACTATCTGCAAGGAGTTTGCATGTTCTGCCTGTGCTTGCATTGGATTTTGCTCCAGGTACTCCTGTTTCCTCCCACACTCCAAAGACATGCTTGAAGGTTACTTGGCTCCTGTCTAAATTGGCCCTTGATGCGTGTTTCCTCCCTAAGTGGAGGAGCTCTTTAAATTTAGTGTTGATGGAACTGTAATCAGTCTGGCAGATTTATAGTCTGTGATCACTTGGTTATTCCTATGTGTTCTGCTATTGTCTGTACCCACCTGTAGTGGGGTGTGACCTTGCTGCAGAGTGGGGCAGCCAATAGGAGCACACTGGGGGTGTCTATGCCTCTTCAGCCAATCACTTGGAGTTTCATGGCCAGTGGTGCATGCTGAGGAAATGCATAAATACTCAGGAATTTCTGTGTGTTCAGGGCAGTCCGCCCCCGGGCCAAGCCTGGGGGTAGGATGTACAAGGTTGGAGAAGCTGACTAGGCCTCAAACCTGGAGGAGGCAAGATGTGGACCCAGGAGGGGTTTGGAACTATCTGCGAGGGAAAGCCAGAGGAGCCCTTTGACTGCTGGAGGTGCTAGGAAGGCCAGGATGGCATGGACCTCAGGAACAAGTCTGGTGTCTCTCCCAGGGAAGATCTCAAGTATATCCTCTATCCAGCTGTGGATCTGTTACACAGTGTCATCTTCTGCTCAACTAAAGCACTGTGTGGCACAACAACACACATATAAAGTATAAACAAAAGGACCGGGACAACATTCTTTATGTTGTCACACATATGAATAATGAAGGTCCACCCGTAAAGGCAAAGAGACCTTTCCCTGTATAGTTATCAGCCCCACATGTTGTGCCCATTGGCTGAGGTTGTCCTCTCATAAGGATATTTACACATAGTCACCATTTTCTAAGCCATGTTAGAATTACGGTAGTAACATTTGGGGGTATATGAGGTGATCAGGGAACAGGGTGCCAGAGAGTACCAAAGATTGACAGTCTACAGGCCCCAGAGGTGGAAATCTGTCTCTGTCTGTAGTTAAACATAATAAACTGCAATGCTAAACATTTCATTTTGTCTTCTTTTGCATTTCATTGCCAGATCCTAAAGATGATGCAGCCTATAGGTTTATTGTCCCATGGATTGGTACGTAAATTAAAGTTTATCTAAAGCTAAAACATTTTTATTCGTTTTGGATTACTTGGTGAGAGGTTGGAACCCCTATGAGGTTTTTTATTGCTGTTGGTACCCCTCCTATTAAGATTTACTCTCTCTCTGTTTGTCTTGCTAACCTTTGTCAACAATCAAGATCTGACTTATACCAAACCATTGAAAATGTAAAAGAGTAGGCAAAAGACATGTTATGTATTACTCTGGCTATGTCATTTATTAATTGGCCGACTTTCAACTGTACGACTCTTCAGGTGCCCATGGGGAGATCCCTCCACTTCCTCAGGTCTGTGGTCTGTGGCAGGCCATACATGTCTTACCCGCTTTTGTGCTATTTGCTAAAGTGAGTTCTCCACGTGTAATTATGGAGAGCCAGAAACATGTCTTATCCGGTCTAGGGGAATCTCTGTAGAATTATACATTAGAGCATCAGGAGCTCAGAGGAAAGCCAAGTTTGGCTATCATTGTTTTATGGGTTTAAGAGAGAACTCAGTGCTGGCTCTAAGATCGTTTTGGAGACCTAATATTGGATTGAACCATACTCCATTAATTTAAAAAATGAAAGAACCTCTTCCTTCTTTTATAACATCTTTAGTCGTAGTTATGTCATCAAATTTGCCATTCTGACTCATTACACGTCAGTCCATATACTCATCCATGCTGTATTTCAAATTTGACTTTGTATTATCCTTTTGCTTGTTCCTATACAGTAGCACTCAGACTTTGAGGGGCAGGGGCAAGACTGGAAAGCCAATCAGGTGTGCATGCAAATCTGTTAACATTGATAGGAGGAGTTAGCAGAAGGATGACCTTTTCAGTCTGCTACTGCTCTGTGACTGTCCAGTCAGCAGGCTGAGGGTGGAGAAGAGGACACCACTGTATTCCTCAACATTAAGTGGTTTCATCTGTGCGGAGTTCAACTTTCATATCACACTAACAAGTTCAGATATCACAGCTGCTCAAGGTACACCGGGGGATATTAATCAATTCTGTGCACAGCAAAGCAATGCTAAACAGGAGCAGTGAGACGATTTGTAAGACAGATTTATTACAAGGTTACAAATTGAGTCGTAAATTCCTTTCTCAGCTGCTGTAAACTAACACTGCCAATGGCATCACTGGGGGGGGGGGGGGGGGGGCCCGCACCTGGGTGACACCATTGGAAGGGGTGACACCTAAATGACTGACAGTCATTTTGATGTCACCACCTCTGAAAAGTCAGGCACTCGGTCAAAGATCGAGAGCCCGACAGTTGCATGGGACTGTATTCCTTATCCCGCCGGGTGAACATCCGCTCCTGGCCACCAGCAGGTAACAGCGCTTGACGTCATCACACGCATGCACGATGACGTCACGGCAGGCTGTCACCTGAGGGCCTCTCCGGGTGACACCATGCCTCGGGATGCCCTAAAGCACTGTGACAGAATAAAACCTGACCCCGACCATTGCTTAATTAAACGACTGTATAGTGTGAAAATCTGTCATGTCTTTACTAATAAATATTATGTCTTACAACTTTGCACACTGGCCAGAAAAACAGATGCATGGGACTGTAAACCTGACGCAAAGACTTTCCTGAACGAGAGGCAACTGGTCTGACAGCTCTCTAAAGTTAATGTCATTTAACCTAGGTGAAGGATTATTAGTGTTATCTGGGCCAAAGTGGTTCCAGCACCGCAGGCTTCTGACTCCCGGCTTTCACTACGATGTCCTAAAGCCCTACGTTCCATTAATGGGTGACTGCACTAACATCATGCTGGTAATGGATTTTTTCTTCAGAAGTCTGATAATATTATTGAGACATGCAAGCTAAACTCTGACGATTGTAACTGTATTTTTATTTAAAGGTAATATAATGGCCTTAATATAGTGGACCTCAGATTCTACTAGACATACATAATTGGTTCATTAGATGGTTTTAATAGCCCATGCATTGCAATGAACAGTGCTGGGGGTCGTGAGTAGTAGGATTAAGGGGGGTAAGGTTTCTGCAAAATCCTTGTGGAATCAATGAACTATGGGCCTGCAGAAAAAAACACCTACACAACACTTAGGGGACTATTCACAAAGCTGCTGTAGGCAGCCGAGTGAATAAACGACCCGAAGTGAAGTGAGCCAAACGCTGTTCGGCTATTCACTTCAGGCTTGTACGGCTGATTTCAGGCGTACACAGACTAAAATCAGCCATACATCGGCTTGCTGCAGGTCGGCCAAACTGCACTTCGGGTCGGCTCAGCATGTCGGCTGACCCGAAGTGCATCTGGGTCGGCTGAGCTGAACCTCCAGCAGGCTACTCGCTGCTGTTCAGCCTATTCTCATAGGTGCCGAACAGCAGTGAGTGAATAACCGCTCCGCCCAGCAGTCAGTAGCAGGCTGTCGGGGGGCAATGGTTGGCCGTTTCACCTCGGTGTAAGTCAAGCATATGCCTTCGGCTCGACTGAATAGTGAATAGACCCCTTAGTATCAGTTCTATATCATTCACAACTGGCTTGTCTCACACTGAAAGGCATGGTTGATGTGAGACTTGATCCTCTTTAATAGTTAATAAATATTGGTCAGGAAAATCTAAGCTGCCTGTATTTTCTTCTTGAGACTACTTGGCTGGGAATGTCTGTTGCACTCTGAATGTACTTATTGACATGATGGTTACTTGATCCTGCTAAACTCTGCCCGATTGTGAAATGATAATCTTATTTCCATGGCTACCTAAATAAGAAAATATTTCAGGAGAACATTGTAAGCGGTCACGGGCAGGGCCCTCCTTCATCTTGTCTTGAACTTTACTGTAATTGTAATGTCTTCCTTATATTGTAAAGTGCTGCACAAACTGTTGGCACTATATAAATGAATAACTCCTGTAAAATTGTTTTATCTTATTTCAGGATAAATGGGAAAAGATTGTCCAAGATAAGAAGCCGGTGGAACTCTTCCATTATGTCAGCCTCATGACTCTGGACACCATAATGAAATGCGCCTTCAGCTATCAGAGCAATTGCCAAACAGACAGGTAAAACCTCTTTCAATGAACCGCTTTTTGGACCTTATGGGGTATGTTGTTATAATGAAATGACATGATTGTAACTTAAAGGAGAACTATGGGGTTAAGGCTTTTCCCCATAGTTCTCCTTAGGGTAACGGGAGGACACAAACTAGCGTCCTCCTGTCACCCTAGGCTCAGTATACCGCGAGCTGTAGCTCGCGGTACACTGAGACGCCACAGTATACCGCAAGCAGCTGCTCACGGTATACTGAGACGCTGCAGCTGAAGCGGATCCCGACAATTGTGCCGGGATCTACCCAGCTGCGTGACTGACAGCTGGCTCTGCCTATCTAGAGGCAGAGCCAGCTGTACCCGTCCCCTCCCCCGTCCTCCCCAGCCAGCGCTGGCGGATCGGAGCGGGGAGGGGGGAATTCAGACCCTCCCCTGTCACGGCAGAGAGCCGTGACAGGATCGAGAGGTGAGCGAACGCCGGTATGTGTTCGCTCACTTCCCGATCTACTGAGCCGACCTGTGACAGTCTCATTGTCACAGGTCGGCTAGAACTATGAGGTGAGTGAAAAGCACTCACCTCATAGTTCTCCTTTAACTTTCCCTCACCCAATACTTAAAGCAGAACTCCAGGATTTGTTCTTTCATATGTTAAGTCTGCTGTATGGCACTTTAAGGAATACTGTACTATTTAAAATATTTACACTTTCATGCTTTCCAGGAAATATTGCTTTCGCTATACTTCTGGCCCACTGCGGCTATAAGAGGTTCTCATACATGGAAGCCACAGTGTTGTTTGTCCGCCCTCCTCCCCTTTCACATTCACAGAACGCTTTGTATTCTGTGATTGGTTTTTAGAATACAAAGCATCCTGTGAATGGGCAAAGGGAGAGGAGGGGCTGAAGAATGCCAATGTGGCTGCCATGTATGAGAACTGCAGCTCTACTGTCCCAGCATCAGAAGTATAGTAAGAGCTATGCTTCCTGGCATGTATAAAAGTGTGGATGTTAAAGATAGTACTGCCATACATCTCATCAGACTTAACTTGCTTTTACACTGTAGATTAAAAAACAAATCCTGGAGTTCTGCTGTAAACTCTGTTCTGCCTCATATCTTCCCACCCTGGAAGCCTCTTTTCTGAGAGCATGCAGATCTCATGCAAGAAAGTAAAAAATAAACAATTTTTGTAAATCACCAGTAAACCTATATATTATAAAGTTGTGTTTAATATACCGTATAAGGCATTTTGGTATCATATGAAGGTCCCATGCTTTGTCAAATTGCATTGTGTCTAATAGCTAGTTGGTCAAGCAAAACAAATGGCAAACGCACTCATCAATTTGTTACCAGCTTTACAGCAAGGTGCACATGGAAGGGCTTTAAACAGTAACAGCAAAAAGCTATTTTGCCACATGTGCTCCAAGATGGAGACTCTCATAGTTTAGAGTCAGGACCGCACTATATAGAGGTGTCTTGGTGCGGCAGTGCGGCTTTCACATTTTCTGCAGAAGACGTGTATCTAAACCTCTGTTTTTAGCCTTAGTGGTGAGACAAGGTTTTTTGCATGCTGGCTGGTGAGTGTGCTGGTGTTAATAGCTAGATGGTGTTAAAAAATAGCCAAAAGCTGTCAGAGGAAAGTTGCATTTCCTGAAACTCCTGCTATGGGGCCCAAAACCTAATACTACATAAGTATTTCTTTTTTTTTCCCCTCTTTTTTTTCAAGTGACAATGACTACATCAAAGCAGTTTATCAGCTGTCCTTCCAGGTCGATCACAGGTTCCGTAATTTCATCTATCATAATGATTTTATTTACTACCTGAGCCCACAGGGATTTCGCTTTCGCAAGGCACAAAGGATAGCACATCAACATACAGGTGGGATTTTGTATGTATGTGTGTTTAGATTAGACATCACATATCTGAGAAGTGCTGTCATGGGTAAGGGGTGAACATTACTGCCTTTGCACACTGAGCTACAGGGGCCATTGGAGGTTCATGGGTGGCCATTGTAGAGAAAATGTAATCCCAATTGGTCCAATTTGTAGAGGGTTCATTAATCAATAAGCATGTCTAGCTGTTAATAATAGACAAGGCATGGGATTGGCTCCATTAGTGCTGGTGACATCAAATTGTGTTGGTGAAGCTGGTAGAACCTTTGGGGTTGTAGCTGTGCTGAAGTTGGTCTAAGACATGGTAGGTAACAGAGATAAAGATGGGCAGATTCACAGCATACTATGATGTCACAGTAAACATGTGTTTTGTAAATTCTCATAGTAAATAATAAAACTAACGCTTTGCTTTCCATTCTAGATAAAGTAATCAAACAAAGAAAAGAATTGTTAAAATGTGAGAAGGAGTTGGACAAAATCAGTCGAAAAAGACATCTTGATTTCCTTGATATTCTTCTGTGTGCACAGGTAAGATTTTAGAAGTGGTGTGAATGTTAGATTTATTAGTAAGTTTATTATTGGTCAGTTTATGTATCTGGAAAGGCATGCTAACTGATATAAAATTAGCTAAATGGGTGTAAATGTATATTGAATAAAGTAAAATACGTTTTTTTAAAAATGAGGTAAGAAACCCATCTTTGTATCCATCCTTCAACGTTCTTCTACATGCTTCGTAAAACTACCAGTGTGAGCATTAAAGAGACATTAAAATCAAACTTATTTTCCCCCTTCCCAATCCTTCTGTAGGGATTTACCTAAAATGATGTCTCTTAATCCGATCATCTTCTTCTTTACTGTCCTTTGCAGCTGTCCTTCCAGCGCTGGTGCGGGTCTCCGATGCAGCGCTGATTCCTCCGTCCTCCTCTTCTCTCATGTCCCACGGTGCCTGTGCAGGTGCACGCTGCTCCATAGACTTACCTTGTGTCTCTCCTCGTCTCCTGGCCGAACATCTGAACTGCGCATGCGCCCGCCCCAAGATCCTTTGCGGCCGCCCAAGAAAGTCCGGATGGGAGCGTCAACAAGATTCATATTCCCTCATTAAACATTTTTTTAGGCTAATCTTTGAGGCCACGGATGCACCGCTGTCATCAGAGGTGAATCTTCGTCCTCGTAAGGCTGCTTTCAGGGAACCAAACAGGTGAAGGTCCGATGGCCCAAGATCAGGACTATAGGGAGGATGCTTTAACACCTCAAAACGACATTTTTGCAGAGTGTCAACAGTGTGGGCAGAGGTGTGCAGACATGCATTGTCATGTAAGATCACAATGCCCTTGGATAGCTGTCCTCTGCGTTTAATCTGAAGTTTAGGCTTCAGCTCTTCAATGATCATCTCAGACCACAAAAACGGATCACTGCACGCTGCTCTTCTTTTGTGCAAATCACAAGTGGGACATCCATTTTTTCTCACACCGCAGTTACAAATGAACTGACATAACACGTTCACACCTGCACAGCAGTGACTGGGGAGACAGTAGCTTTGAATGGAAAGCGCTGATAAGATGCTGATAAGAAGTGCGGCCAACAGAAGTTTTAATTTAACTGGAGAGCAGGATATTTTTGACTCACCCTCCTATGTCTTTTTTTAGGATGAGAATGGCCAGGGTTTGTCTGATAAGGACCTACGTGCAGAGGTGGACACATTCATGTTTGAGGGACATGATACAACGGCCAGTGGGATCTCTTGGATATTATACTGTATGGCCAAATACCCTGAACACCAAGAAAAATGCCGTGAGGAGATCAGAGAGGTGCTAGGAGATCGGAACACCTTGGAATGGTGAGAATTTGCTCTAATAAATTATGTTAATTTCATACTATAAGCTGCTGGACTACAGTAATATGTAACTGCTTGTGTACCCTGGGCATGCTATGTTCACCCAAAAAACTAAATTGTGCATTAAAAAATGTGTAGAATTGAAGAAAAGCCTTTATTTCACTTGTAAATAACTTTGCAAAAGTTTGTACCAAAAGCATCATTTAAACATCAGTATACATGAGACAAATGAAAGAATAGGATTTGATTTGATTAACATTTTACTTTTTATGAACAGTAACGCTACTTTTTTTTAAAAACTTGTATCGATCAAAGTAGAAAAAATAACCTTTTTTTGTTTTATTCATTACTTTTTCTGGCTAAAGCTTACCAGAAAATAAAATACTTTTTGCAAGTCGATATTGGCAAAGAAATGCTTGTTTGACCTGAAACCCCCCCCCAAAATGACAAAGATATCGCCAAATAAAATTGCTCTTGTGCATAAGGAACATACAGGTGCGGAAGCTGAAGTGGTTGAAGCAGAACTTCAGGTAAAAAATGAATTACCTTTGCAGTGGGGTTACCACTGCACTGCAAGGGTTAACTGCTCGTTAATGTTTAGGGGGATGTGTAAAGATCTTTTACTTTCCTGCTCGCCGCTACCCTGGTAAACCGTGCTCACCACTTTCCCCTCCACTCCGAATTGTGGACTGTCCCTTGCTATCCCCACGTATAACACAGGGTTATGGGCACTGCATTAGACATGATGAGATCAGCTTCTGACAGTGTGAAGGGAGGAAGAGCCTGCAGGCACTGGCCTTAGAGCCTGCAGAAGTGGAGATCAGGTAAGTAAAAGTGCTTTAGACAGCCCCAGTACTTCATTGTGCAATCAGTAGGGATAAGAAGATCCAATAATTGTGCTATTCAAGCAATTGGAAAAAGAATGACTTTTAAGTCTGCACATTATAATTAATATTTTCTTAATCTTACATACATTTTAGAAAGACATCAGTGAGTCACATAGAAAAGTTGGTGTCCAGCATGTAAAGCTGCTCCTAGAAATTATTAAGTTAACCAACTCAGTGGCTACCATTGGTGTGATTTCATGTGAATCTTTTTTCTTTCAGTAAATGTATTGCACTTTAAAGTTAATCTATAGTTTTCTGGTTTCATTTTATACTAGGGAAGACCTCGGGAAGATACCCTACACAACTATGTGCATTAAGGAGAGTTTGCGTCTTTATCCTCCTGTTCCCGGGGTTGCCAGGAAACTGAATAAACCAATAACTTTCTGTGATGGACGCACTCTTCCGGAAGGTCAGTTTATCATTCTGCATCCTCATACTGGCATTATACCCAAAATCTAGAAGTGCAAACAAAGGAGTACCTACTGAAAATGTGAAACAGCTAGGAAGGCTACATCCCCAGTGCCTTCAAGCCTCCCCCTGAGAAGGCTTTTGACACCAGTGCCTTCCAGCTGCCTTCTGAAACGACTACGTCACCAGTGCCTTCCAGCTGACCCCTGAGAACGCTACGTCACCAGTGCCTTCCAGCTGACTCCTGAGAAGGCTACCTCACCAGTGCCTTTCAGCCTCCCCCTGAGAAGGCTTTTGACACCAGTGCCTTCCAGCTGCCTTCTGAAACGACTACGTCACCAGTGCCTTCCAGCTGACCCCTGAGAACGCTACGTCACCAGTGCCTTCCAGCTGACTCCTGAGAAGGCTACCTCACCAGTGCCTTTCAGCCTCCCCCTGAGAAGGCTTTTGACACCAGTGCCTTCCAGCTGCCTCCTGAAAAGACTACGTCACCAGTGCTTTCCAGCTGATCCCTGAGAAGGCTATGTCACCAGTGTCTTCTAGTTGCTCCCTGAAAAGACTTTGTCACTTGTGCCTTCTGGCCGACCCCTGCGAAGATTACATCACCAGTGCCTTCCAGCTGCCCCCTGAGAAGGCTACATCACCAGATCCTTTGTGCTTCCAGCTGACAAGACTAACATGTCTTTTCTCTAAAGGGGGCGAAGTGTTTGGAGAAGGCAGAAGAAGTGAAAAATCTAGGCCAAAGTAGCTGATTTGGAACAAATCTCCAATTTAGCTCACTTTTCAGTCCAGAGTATTCACTTCTTCTGTCTTCTTCAAACTCTTCACCCTTTAGTGAATAGCCCTGTAAATCACCAGTTCCTTCCAGTTGCCCCCTAAGAAGGCTATGTCACCAGTGCCTTCCAGCTGACCACAAGAAGGCTACATCACCAGTGCCCTCCAGGGATTTCTTGTGATGTCAAGGGGGAAAAAAGGTAGCTGCTCTGCACTTGCATGAAATCTGACTGCAGACATAATCGGTGGACCAGAAGAGAGAGAGCAAGGAAGAAGAAGCTGGCCATTGATTACTTTTTTAATGGTGGTGTGGGTTTGGGAGCAGGGCTAAATGGACCAGTGGAATACAAGACTCAAGAGGCATACTTACTTGTTTTGATATACACAGTTCATCAGTGCTGGAATTTTTTTGAGTGGGGGGCATCCACTTCAGCCTACCTGACAGTTTCCTATATCTCTCGGTGAGATATCTCCACTTGGGCTCTCAGGTCTGCAGACTTACCATGAAGGGATCTCACTCTCCCTGCTGGATATTTTATTTAATCATTTTATAGAATATAACAGGAGGAGCTAGAACTGATAAAGGCGGCTGGGTGGAAGATTGAGGGAGATATCACTTCAAGGCAGGCATCTGGATTGCTATTTGATGGGTCATTCTTTAAATATATAGTATATATTAATGTTAGCACAAATAGTCTAATATAAACCTGCTTTACTTGAATCTATATATCGTTGACATTAAAATTTTGGTGATTTTGGATCAAATAAATAAATAAAAATGTGTTCTATTCTATACAGGTTCACTGATTATCCTGAGCATTTACTGCATAAACAGATCAACCATTTTCTGGAAAGACCCTGAGGTGATGTAATGAGTGATAATATCCAATAATAATACACTGCTTTCTCAGAGGCACAGGGGCATTTCCCTTCCACGACAGCGGGGTTACCAAAAAGACTCACAAAAATGTAACAGCTCATCCTGAAAGGACCACTATAGCATAACAATATTGTACACTGATAACTGTATACAGGTAATATATGTAATAATAATAATAACAACATTTGGTGGCAGGCACACTGCAAACACTGTGCAGCAATGCAGCCATGCTGCTCTACATGCCCAGCCTCAGGCTACCTCATTTTTGGGATGGCCCTGATGGAGGCTCAGCATTACATGTGGGCATTACCACAGCTTCCTGTTTTCAGGAAGCTAAATACAGCACCCCCCCTCCCACCAACCGTGATCTGCCGGCATTACATAGAGGAGCAAATAGACCTAGTGGTGCTGTCACTGGATTTAAAACAGGGTATGTAATGAAAATGGAAAGGTTTTATTTAATAATTTAATTAGAATGCTGATGAGGGGGTAAAAGAGGAACCAAGGAAGGTAACATAAAAGCAAATCAAACTTGCGCTTTAAATGATGACCAAACTGCCCTGCAATAGTTAGCATGAAATGGGTTGGAAAAAGCATAACCTGACTTCTATTAAGGTTCTGCTGCTGTTTGTGCCCACATTGGTTAGATTTCCTCGCCTTCCCTGCCTTCTTGTAATGACAACCATGCAAGATATGAGGGAAAACCTATCCAACAGAGACATAGACAATAATAAAAACCTGAGCGAGACCCTAACTCTTCCCCACTCTATCCACAATAAAAAAAGTTTGGGCTGAAGCTCCACATTACGTTTCTTATAAATGTAAATATTCTAATCTGCATGTAAGATATTATCAAGGTGCCTGATGAATTATGACTGAATATTCTGTATCACTTAGGTGTTTGACCCACTACGGTTTTCTGCGGAGAACTCAGTAGACAGACACCACCACGCCTTCCTTCCATTCTCTGCTGGCGCACGGTAAGAAAATAACAGTATAGTAATGCTAAACTCTCCCGGACGTTCCGGGAGTCTCCCGCTATTAGATTTTCTCCCGGAAAGGTTTACTCTGCTCTATCTAACAGTGTTAACCTTTCCCTGCTGTCTGTTTTCTTTTTCTGACATCGGGGCTGCCATCAGTCAGAGAAACCCCCCCCCCCAAAAAAAAACAAAACAGCATATGGATGAATAGCTAGGCTTCTATTTGCTATTTCAATTTGCAATAGCCAATAGCAGACTAGCTATTGCACCCACCCATTGCTGCTGTCAATCAGCAGAGGTGGGGCTGAAGTTCTCCATCAGGTCCTCCTCTGCTGATTGACAGCAGCAGAGGGCGGGTGCAATAGCCAGCTTGCTATTGGCTATTGCAAAGATTTCTTTCTTTCTTGCTCCTTGAGGAACATAGGATGTTGTACACCACTAGGTTATACTACCACCTACAGGAACAAAAAAATCATAGGTCAGCCCAGGGTAACTCCTCCCTCTACCATCATGCTTCAGTTTTTTGCTAGACTGGATATTGCTGGTATAGCCTGGAAGTGCTTTTGGGCGTTGGGTTCTGTATAACGTCTTCCTGACTTGAGCAGTTTCTAATCTTCTTCTTATGCAGGATATCGTTCTTCTCCAAATCCAGGATATCATTCTTTTCCACATTCAGGATATCGTTCTTCTCCATATCCAGGTTATCGTTCTTCTCCATATCTAGGATATCGTTCTTCTCCATATCCAGGATATCGTTCTTCTCCATATCCAGGATATCGTTCTTCTCCATATACAGGATATCGTTCTTCTCCATATCCAAGATATCATTCTTTTCCACATTCAGGATATCGTTCTTCTCCATATCCAGGATATCGTTCTTCTCCATATCCAGGATATCATTCTTTTCCACATTCAGGATATCGTGCTTCTCCATCTCCAGGATATCGTTCTTCTCCATATCCAGGATATCATTCTTTTCCACATTCAGGATATCGTGCTTCTCCATTTACAGGATATCGTTCTTCTCCATATCCAGGTTATTGTTCTTCTCCATATCCAGGATATCGTTCTTCTCCAAATCCAGGATATCATTCTTCTCCATATCCAGGATATCATTCGTTTCCACATTCAGGATATCGTGCTTCTCCATATCCAGGATATCGTTCTTCTCCATATCCAGGAAATCGTTCTTCTCCATATCCAGGATATTGTTCTTCGGCCCGGCATCTCTTTTTCTGTTGTCTATGATTCAGTGTTTCAGGCAGGGGTGTATCTACCGCAAGGCAAACTAGGCATTTGCCTAGGGCGGCACTTTCCAGGGGGCAGCAGAAAAGGCTGCCCTGAACCAATGAGTCGGACAGGGCCGGACTTGCCTTTGGCCATTCTGGGCACTTGGCCAGTGGGCCCACCATAGACCCCACTCAGCCCACCATAGATCCCGCACAGCTCTCCTGAAACCCCATACAGCCCACCTGAGACTATGCACAGCTCACCTGAGACCCCGTGTGCGCTGTATCCAGTGACTGATAGGTTGCGCAAAATGTCCTAACCAGGATGGGGTGGGGCAAATTTAGATTGAGGGGGTGCCCGAGGTTAGTCTTGCCTAGAGCAGCATAAAACCAAAATACACCACTGGTTTCAGGCTGTGAGTCTATATCTTTCAGCCACTGACACTTTATGCTGGACATTCCGGATGGATTCTATTGGTTAATTAAGCTATCATTCCACCTTTTGGTAGTTCAGGTACCATCTTCTTCAAGCTGGGTCTTTAGGATCCTGTCAAGGTTTACTTCACTTGCTGTGTGTCTCTTGCTCTTTCAGCATCATGCATCGATTCCTTATTCAAGGATGCCATCTGGTCTTCTGTTCTCACATTTATGATCTACTGGGTGAAGGTTGTTGCCCCTTCTGATTCCAGAGTTGGGAGTAGCTCTTTCAGGCAGCTCCTGAACTGCCATCAGCAGGGCTGGATTTTCCACAAGGCCACTGAGACCTGGCCTCGGGACGGCAGGGGGTAGAGTGGCGGCAGAGCCGCCGGGAGGGTAGTTTTTCTTTTACGTTTATATCTGCTGCGGGCAAACAGGGCTAAATGTGGAGCGTGGAAGTCGCCGCTCCTTTTGTACAAGTGATCTTGACGGCATAAGCCTGCAGCCCCCCTCCTCCATGGTCCACTCCCACCTCCGGCTGCCTCTCCCTCCCCACTGTGGTTTTCATGGTCCCCCACTCTTCTGGGGGACCCAGGACCATGGCAAGGTTGGGGAGAGGGGCGCATTGAGGAACCTGGCCTTATGGCAGCAGAGAGTAAATCCAGCCCTGGCCGTCAGTCCCCAGTTTTCTGTTCTTTTTTTGGGTCTGTTAGCATTTGTTGCTGGTTGCCCAACCCCCAGCTTGACTACTTTTGGATGTCCTTGGGAAGGTGAAAGACTTCCTGTGTCCTTTAAACGACAAGAAAGAAAATAGGATTTTGGTACTCACTTTAAAATTATTTTCTTGGGGTCCATTGAGGTTTATGATCATGCTTACGGTACTGCTGTGCTGAAAACGGAGGCATGCTAAAGTAGGAGGGGTTATCTGGACTTGCCTACTGTTTTATTTTGCGTACAATCCTCCTATAGATGGCACTATAACCCAAAGAGTAAAGACTTCCTGTGTCCCTCAAGGGACTACAAAAAAGGATTTGCAGTGAGTAAAACATTCAGTTTTTTTCTGTACTTGCATGGTCTTTAAGGCTGTATCGAATATGCGCGTTTGTCGCGTGTTTCGTGTCGCACGATTCGCGGTAAAAACCGCGTGACAAACGCGCGTTTCCGAGGGCTACCTGGCTGTATCCCAATGGATACGCACGACAAAAAAGCCCCAAAGGAGCTCCTGTACTTCTTTGGGCGTAGGGCATTTTGTAGCGCGCTCATACGGCCTGTAATACGCCCAGGTGTGAACCATACCCATAGGAAATAATGGGATTTCGGTGTTTGAGCGTTTTGCAGAGCGTAGGAACGCGCTACAAATGCCCAGGTGTGAACCAGGCCTAAAAGGAAGTGTGCAGATATGTACTGTATATTTTTTTTTTTTATAATTTTTTTTTGCCATAACATTCACTTTAAGATATGTAATACAAACTACTAGTGTGATATTTCCTTTTCCAGGAACTGCATTGGACAAACCTTTGCAATGAATGAAATGAAAGTAGCATTGGCTCTGACATTACAGAGGTTTCATCTACTTCCGGATCCAGAAAACGAGCCAATTAAAATCTCCCAAATAGTTCTTCGGTCTTTGAACGGCATTCATATAAATCTGAAGGAGATTGAAAAGAACAGCATGGACAGCACACCTGTCGATGGTGGCAGCTAGCTTAATTATGGCCTGCAAAGCTGTAATAGAGGAATCTTAATAGCCTTGCAGTCTACACTATTCACGTTATGACCATCAATAACCCCATTGCTGTCATTCCAAATTCCGATCAGCTTCGAATCTAACAGGAGTTCTGGTAATGGAGCCAATATTCTTACCACAGTGATCTGTAAACCAGGATTTAGGTGCTGTGCTTATTACAGGTGAAGGATGTCATTTAAAATCACAGTGTATAATACTTGTAATTTTTTATTGGAGGAACTAACTCTTAATAAAGTAACCTCATCAATGTCCATATCTTGTATTTCTACTATGTTACAGATTTTGATATTTTTGATAAGTTAAATCTAAGCTGAAGCATTTTTTCATTGTGAATGGAGTAGGGAATGGTTAAAACCCTGTTAGATGTATCTGTGTCCCACTGAGGAGGTTTCTTTCACTTCCTGTCATGTATACACAGCAGGACGTTAGACAAAATTTCTACAAAGAGAGTAAGGGGAAGTCCCCTTAGATGTCACTGGAACAACTGGACCTTTTCCCTTCTGTTCCTGCTGCATTGACTACCTAGTTTTGGGTTTTCCTTCATTTACAGTTATTGTGACTCCAATTGTTGAAATAGTGATGTATCCCTTCCTGAGACCTCTGTGTCTGACCTGTATATAGCAGATACAATATACTGCGGACAGTCTTCATTAGATAACTGAACTCACGAAATACTTTACATGCACAAAGATCATTATTGCATGCAGCAGGTTACTGGCAAACAATAGGATGCAGCAGATGGCTGAAATGACGGTATTTGAAGGTTAAAAAAGGATAATGCCTTCCTCTCCTCTTGCACATTGGCCAGAAAATGGCTGAATGGAACACACAGAAAGAAGGAGTTGCTATATTATACAAGGGAAGAAAACACAGAAATAAAGAGGGTGCAATAAACCTAAGGACCACTAGGTGGCAGCAGAACAACTATAACTAATACAAATATACAATAGTACCAAATATTAACTATGGCTATACATAACGATACCAGTGCCATACAATTCCTGCTGACAGCACAACAGTTCTGGTCACAAGGACAAATAGAGAGGGTGAATCTTTCACCAGCAAAATCAAAAGCACTGCACTCTGACAGGTGGAGAAGCATCTTTGTCCAACCAAAAGGGAGAGAGAATGAATAAATGTGATACTCACTGTACTGAAAGTACATTAGACATGTAAGCTGCGGAAAAAAACGGTTCGATTCGGATATTTAGTTATTTTGGGACTCGGATCCGAAATTCAATTTGTTCGGGTTTCTGATTCGGACGATATCCAAATTTTCGTTAGTTTCGGATGAGTTTACAAATACTAGTTGTGAATACCATAGAAAAACATTTACAGATATTAGGCCGGTCAGTCTAACATCGGTAGTTTGTAAAATGCTAGAGGGCATAATACAGATATTAAATAGATACAGATATTACGCAAAGGTGTTAGTTTTTTGTCTACGGTCTAAAAATACCAAAGAAATAAATTTTTTTTAAATTGCACCAAATTGCTGAGATCTTTCTCTAGTGGCCGATCTTTAATTTAGGGCTGTGGAAATGAAAGATTAATTTCTCGATTAATCGTTAAACGTTTTGATCGATTAAAATTATTTTGATCGCTAATGAA